GGCCCTGTTTCAGCGAGAGGATAGCCAGGTCCCCGATGGTAAGGACACCCACCTTGAAAGACCAGGATCGATGCCCTGGCTTGAGTTGATCAGAGCAGCTTGTTGGCCATGCCAGGATGATGGTGGTTCCCTTCCAGTGTGAAACAGGAGAGTGCATGGGAGAAATCATTTTTTCTTACCCCTCTTTTCTTCTACGGGCCCTGCTGCTGTATTTCCGATCGTTGGTGCAGTTATCTGCATGAGGACCTGAAGCACCCACGTGCTAAGAGACCCACCCAGGGTCATGGAGGAAGTCTGTGGCAAGGCAGAGAATTGAACTCAGCTCTCTGAAGTCCTAGCTTAGGGCCCTAATCACTGGACCATCCTGCCACTCTCCTACGGTTTCCTAGGCTCATTGCCCTGCCCAGCAGAAACACTGCATAAAGGAGATTGGGGAAGCTAGGAATACTTCTTCCAGGGGAGACATCACCCGGAGAATGGTTAAGAGGAAGGCAGGCCTCTGGTTTATGGTGGAAAACCTAGTTCTTGGAAGAGCCCGGCTAGCTTAGGGAATTCGTGTTGCCATACAGAGCCCCAGCTGCAAGCTGGCAAAGTTGCGGCTATCTCTGCGTGGTTGGTGATGAGGAGCTAGCAGTTACCCAGCGCTGTCCGCATTCAGACAGCCTTGCATCGGGTCACCCAGTGTCCCAAGAGAAAGGGGTATTTTACCCCCAGGAAACGCAGGGGGAAGTCGGGACACTGTGAATGTACATGTGTTGTCCAAAGCTACCCAGGCCTTGCCTCCGTGTCCCAAACAAGCTGATAGTTTCAAGCGTAGGGGGTCTACACCACAAAGCCCATGGCTGAAAGCTAGCCCCTTGCTGCGGTCTGAGTGAGGCCGCAAAGAGCAGCTGTTGGGCATGCTAACAGCATTTAGTGGCCTTGATGTGCTGGCACAGACATCGTGCAAGAGGCAGTCTCTGCCCCGAGGAGCTTATTGTCTAAATCAATGAGGCTGTCCATGGCAGGATTTTTCTCCCCATTTCACAGGCAGGGAACTGAGGCACTGAGGCTGACGCACTCAAAGGTATGTAAGCACCTAACAACCTTTATGGTGATAACCAAGCTGGCACAGAAAGACTGTAGCAGAGCTGGGAACGGCAGCCCTGTGAGTCCCATCCCGGTCCCCTCTATTTGATGCCTTGCGGGGGTTCATTGGGAAGGAAGGGCTGTCCTCTGCGCTGGTGCCGGCAGACCACTGCTCCCATGCTTGCTCATCTCCGGTGGTGCCTTTTTGATGCACGGCATAGAGCCACCTGTTGCAACACTGTGATGGGAAAGAGAAACCCTAAATCTGTCACTGCAGGGAGCGCCCACTGAACACCCCAGATGTCAAAAGCCTCTGTCCGGCTGTTGGGCTGAACCGGAGCGATAAGAGCAAAGTACTTTCGGGTCTGAAGAATGCCTGGCGTTCATCTCTCCTGCAGTGCAGCTGTCAGCGCTTATCTAGTCGGGCCTGCTGGACATCAGCCTTGGATTGAATGCACCCTCCTCCTTGCTCCCGCTTAATAGGGGAGGAGAGGACACAGTGTACTTTATTTCTTTCATTTCTCGGTATTGCTTGCAAGCCAGCCCTCAACAGCTCTAGCTCCAACAGTCTTTATAAATGAATCCTCCTCCCTGCGGCCGGTAAGGAAGCCTGCTCTCCCCCCTGCTGAAAGCAAGCTTTGCATTCAATCTGAATCCCAGTATGCGGGCTTCCTTCGTAGGCCTGTCCTGCGAGATCAAGGAAGCATCTTTAATATTTCCCAGTGCAGTGCTGTGAGGGCTCATGGCAGCTTTCATTCTGGCCCGGTTTCGAATGAGATGCAAATTCAGCCCTCGGATAATTGGCCCGATGAACTGCTGTCAGCAGAGTGCCTCGAGGGGGCTCACTGAGAGTTGCCAACTCATGCAGTTTGGCGAACATTGCACGCTTTGATTTCGCGTTGGCCTGGAGCAGAAGGTGCAAGGGGGTTTCATTCATTCGGTAGCTTTCTGTAACCAATGGGACTTGCAGTAACAGGTTGGCTAATGCCAATTAGCACAGATTTTTTCTATGATATGGCCACCTTCTCTTCTGCAGGGTTAATGGCATTGCTTATAATTTGCATTCAGACCCTGCCATTTGGCCTGTGGAGGGATTTGTGTGATGATGGTTGCCAATGGCATCCGGTCAGGAGGGGTGCACGGCTGATGGGGATGCTCTCTTTCTATAGGGGACATACACAGCTGATGGGGATGCTCTCTTTCTATAGGGGACATAAACCCGAGGTCCTGGCCACGTGCAGTCAGTGGCAGACTTGTCAGCAAGAGGTGTGTTGCTCCGACCAGATGCCTGTGCGAGCACTTGCATCCTGCTGATTTAGCGCTCTCCTCCCCAGCTGCACCTGCAGATGACAGATGCCTTCATTTTCATTTATGTGCAGTCATATCGCTGCCATGTTCCACCCCAGGGATGGCCGCATTTCAGTTTTCCCTTTGATGAGCTCAACCCATTGGCCTTTTACGAAGTGGGAAAGACTGCAGAGGGGGAAATAGCAACTTCTCAAGGTTTGCAAAGCCCTGGTGGTGTGTGGCCTCCGCCCCCACTAGCTGCATTGCCTGACCCCAGCTCCGTTCCCCATCCCGCTGTGGGAGAAGCAGAGGCTTTCAGCCAGCAACAAGGAGCAAGGGGCAATCTGCCCGCCGGTCATAAAAGGGGTGTCACCCACCGTTTCCAAGGTTATTCTCTTGTGTTTCCTTTCCCCGCTATTAATAGACATTGAGCCAATCTGAGCGGCTCCAGTGAAGTGGTCGAGGGGTGAGGGGGATGGGGACGATTTCCAGAGAGAGAAAAGTGGGAGGGTCTCGGACAGAGAATGAGCCTGAGGCCAGAAGCTGCAAGGAGGCCGTGGCGGCTTCAGATGGGCTTGGGGAGGAAGGGAGGATCGTCATTTGCTTTTGTGCTTGGCTTCTCTTTCCACGCGCTGTGCGGCCTTTCCAAACACATCCTGCAGCAAGCCCACCCTGCGCCTCTTCCCAATCCAACCATCGGTGTGCCTGAGAGTTAAAAACCCTGCCCCAGCTCTGCCAGGGCTTAGCAACAAAGACTGAGCCTCAGGTCTGCTTGGGTAACTTGAACAAACCAATTGGCATGCTGTGATCCCTTCCATTGCCCTGCATTTTGGATGGCCGTTCAATGCCGTAGCCTTTCCTACACAAATGAACAATAGGCCAGATGCAGGGCAAGAGAGAGCTAGCCCAAGCTGTTGGTGGGAAATGAACCAAGCATTTCTGGCACCAACATCACAAGTCCTGCTCACGCGAGCTAAATGGATGATGCCAATAGGTAAGAGTAAGCACGGGGCTTTTACCCTGGCTGAGGTCTCCTTCTAAGGAGAAACAGTCACCTAAGCATGCAACAGGCTTATTCAGTACATGCTCTTCCACTGGGCACTTCTTCCTCTTGGCTCTCCAGCCCCAGCCTGCCATGGATGTGTGTGCACAGAGCTTTTCTCAGAGTCCCTTGCAGCAGACATCATGACTTTGGTTGCAGGCACTGTTATTCTGACTCCATGATCCCACCACCAAGACACTGTTTCCCACTAAAAAAAACCACCCCAGGGTCAGAGGGCTGGTGTACTCCTTTCCAATCTTCCCTGCATGATGGGAAAAAAAATGATAGTGCAAGAGATGAAAGTCCGGAGGTGAGCACTTGAGATGCCCTAAAGCTGCCAGGCCAGAAAGGTGGGAGCTGAGAATTTTCTGCCTTTCCAGATTTTACTCTTTTTTTGCAATGAAAGAAATGGTTTTGCAAAATTCTTGTTGGTCTAATAAGAGAAATCGCCTCTACCATGAGCCCTGACTGTCTTTGGGGAGTGTCATCCTAGTGGAAATCCTGGGTGAAGTGACTTCCTCAAACTTCGATGAAGAACGTTTCTCCAGTGAGACGATGCCAGTCATTTCACATGGTGCTCCTACAGAATTTTTTTTCCCCCCTCTCTTTGCTTGCGCGAAGCCCCTGCATCCTTGGGGAGGTGTTTGCTGCCAGGGTAAGGGACTGTTGAATGATTCCTTCGTTCCCTTTTATAAGTAAAACCCGTTCTTGTCACTATGAGAAGAAGCAAAACCAATGGACAAACCGACCTTTATTGCCATCCAGGCGGTGAGGGAGGGCTGGGTAACACTTGAGCGCGATGTGTGTGCACAGGCAGTCTCTTAGTCTAATGCTGATACGACTTTGCTTGCTCAGTGACATGCAGCCTGCCAGGCTTAGGAGCCACAAGAGCAGTCCCTATTTACCAGGGAGCTGCAACATCCATGCCACGGGGCAAAAACCATTCTGGTTCCCAAGCAAAAAGCCTAGAGCGCATTAGCTAGCTTTTGGACAGTCTGTCTCCCATGCATGCCCTCACCTTGGCTTGTGGCCTCTTATTCTGTATATTGCCAAGTGGGCAATGGCACGAGATCACTGTATGACTGTAAGATTAAAATGACCCTTTCTGGAGAGACCAATTTAGGGTGAGGCTGCAAAGGCAGTTGACCGTCCAGCTGTGAGCAGAGAGGCTGACTTCACGGTGCCTTCTCCAGACCTCTGCCTCCTGTGTCCCTCGCCCCCAGACACCTTGCTGTGCTTTTATGGCTTCTGCGCTCCCTTTCTGCACCTCTTCGTTAGCCTTCCTGTCACCCAGCACTTGTCCTTGGAGCAATTTATGCTCACCCTATGCATCAGGTTTGTCCCCGTAGAAAGTTCCCAGCAATGAAGAAGGGCTGGGCACCCACCGGTTATCATTTTACCGCAGTCTCTGCCTTGGGTATTGGGTCTGTGATGAGGAATAAGGGGAATGGAGCTGTTTGCAGTAGACAAACTTTCATCTGATTAAATCACCATCTCAAGCTAATTTCTGTTCTAGGAGATGCATCAGACTCGACCAAAGTTACCACCAGCAGCACCATTGCTGGCATGGGACACTCCGCCTCTGGCCCAAAAAGCTCCTCTCCTGTCCTGAAAAGTTCCTCCATTGCCACCAAAAGCTCCTCCGTTGGCCCAGAAAGCTCCACCTCTAGCCTGAAAAGTACCTCTCTTGCCCCAAACTCCTCCTCGAGCTCAAAACCTCCCCCCTCTGACTCAAAAAGCTCCTCTCCTACTTCCGTGGGTACCACCCATGGCACAAAAAAGTCCTCCCCTGGCCCAGGCAGTTCCACCACACACACAAAAACAATCCCCTCCACTACCAAGAAAAGCCCCTCCCCTGACCTGGGAAGTACCCCCCATGGTGCAGGAAGCTCCTCTCCTACTGTGGAAGGGTCCTTCCGCAGCATGATGAGCTCCCCCCCGGCCCTGGAAACGATACGTGTTAGTACAGGAGGTGCCCCCCCTGACATGGCGAGCTCCTCTCATGTCACAGAAATCCCCCCACCTCGCACTGGCAGCTCCTCTGATGGGAAAGTCATACCAAGCCCTGTTGGGGACTTAGCCCCCACGTCAGCTCCTATGAAGCCCACCATGCCTGGGACGACTCCGGCAGCTGGCACCCATCCGGATAAGGACCCTGCGGTGCGTCCAACTCTGAATACCACACTGCTGGAAACCATTTCAGGTACAAGCAAGGTTGTGTCTTCTTCTTTGGGGGCCGGTTGGTCTTTCAGGGTGCTTATTCCCACTAGAGCCTGAGCACTTTTAGGCTTTCCTAGATCCAAGCTCCTAATGGGCAGTGACCAGACCCGGGACCCCTTTAGTGCCAGCGTTATCGTAGCCCCTTGCATTAAAAAGAGCCCCTTCCTGAGGTCCAGGTTCAAGCTTTCCTTTAGCTGTTACTTTTGAGTGCGGGCCCTGCCACAAGCCACGTGCCTGATTCTGAGATTATTCGTGGGTCAAGGGACAGCCCATGGGCTCAAACCCAGCCCAGGTTGGCTGTGGCGAAACGTTGCTGCCCTCCCAGCACCTTAGGGTTGCCAACTCTGCCTGAAGCTATTCCAGGAGATTTTTTTTTTTTGCCAACACGACATAATGTCATGAATTGCACTGTTCAACCCGTTCACGCTATCGATCCCCCGGGCTGCTTTCAGTAGTCTCTGGGAGATCGACTTCAATTCTGGGAGACTCCTGGTCAATCTGGGAGGGTTGGCAACCCTACAGCACCTGGCTGAGGTGAGTTCGGTCCAGTTTCCAGTGCATAACTTGCCACATCACAAAAGCTACCCTTGAATTATTAGCAGGGCAGAGCAGACCTGGAGAGGCCTTCATAGGGGCTGGCCATCACTCAGGAGTGACACCCCATCACTCGGGGGTGTCTTACTACATGAGCCTCGTGTCTGGTTTCAGAGGCTTTGGAAGGGGCATGCTTAGCTCAGATACGGCCCCAGGTTGGAGTTGGCAAAGCCCTGGGAAACTTTTCCATAGAAGTATCAGGCTCCCAATCCAGTGCAAACACAAGCTTTGGAAGAGGCCAAAAGCAAATGGTGGAGCAGGACACGACTTTTTAACATGTTTTTTCCCCTTCCACCAAGGGGGAATTAGTAGCAACACGGGGCAGGGGATCTGTTTGTACATCAGGACACCTACTTCCCCTTGCACAAAGGCCTTTGAGACACCAGGGACCTGGCTGCTGTCCCTCCCAGTGTGGCTCCAACCACCACAGCGCTCCCAGCTTTTCCCACTGGGCTGTGAATGCATCTGGGTATGAAAAAGGACACTTCTCCAGGCCCCAGACTGCCAGGCTTTCACCAGGACATATAATAACCTGCAGCAAGCTTCTAGCCAGCAAGGTTGATATTTGAAAACTAAACCAACCAAAATGAAGGAGATTTCTAGACAGAAATCTTCAACCTGCAGCTAGGGCTTTAGATCAGCACCAGTCTTCCCTTCACATCGCCTCTCCACCGGTTGTGTTTTGCAGACCTCTGTCTAACTACCCCATGCCTTGTTTGTTCATTCATGAATGCAGGTGGCAGTAAAGGTGGAACAGAAGAGCTGAAAGAGGCTGAGACAACCAGAGGAATGTCAGCAACCACGGTTGGCAAATCTGGGGGAGACAAAAAGGATGCGACCACGAAGAAGTCTTATCCTCCCTTGCCGCCAACCGTCTCAGCCTTTGGGGCTGCCACGTCTACTCCAGCTAACACCGAGCGTGTGTCTGAGCCCATGTCTACGTCCAAGCCCCATGACTCCCATCAGGTAATGGGCCCTAGGAGTCTCTTAATCGTGCCCAGAGGAGGTAGGAGAGGAGGCTCATGCTTCTTTGGGAGTCTGAGGCAAGTCTTGGGCAATGACCGTCTAATGCTGGATTGTACCTGGCGTGGAGGCCTTGGGTCTCTTGACATACTACTTCCAGTGACAGGACATCGACAGTGCCCTCGTCCCCCTGCAAGGTGTAAGGCATTTTTGATGTTGCAAGCAGCGCAGTTGGGGGTGAGGGTTCCTGAAGTGAAGAGCAGGTTCAAGAAACACTTGACTGGGGTGCCTTAGTTAGGGAAGAAGGGTCTGGAGCAGGGGTTTGCACTAGATGACTTCCCTGGGGTCCTGCCAGCCCTGCTTTTCCATGAGGCTATGACTTTTCTATGCTTCAGGCTGCATGTTCATGTTGCTGTCTGACGGCCAGGCCACAAGAGAAGACACAAGCTCTGCCGTAGGTGGAGGTCTTTCTGGGAAAACCTCTAACAAGGCATGAGCCTGCAGCCCAGGATTGGGTAAAGTCCCCAGATGAGGGAGGAGAGGGAGCTGCAATCCGGCTGCCGTTCAGGGAAGAACTTTATTTGGGATGGAAGAGAAAATATAATGGAGGAAGAAATTTGCTGGAGATAAGACAGGTGGTTGGGCCTGCAGGGGTTGTGCATGGTCTTTTTGTTTGCTCTGCAGAGGAGCTACACCATGCATTAGAGCAGGGGTGTCAAACGTATGGTCTGCAGGCCAGATCTGGCCTGAGGAGCCGCTCTGTGCAGCCCTCCCATTTACTGGAGGCCTTGGGAAGTTGGGGATGTGGCCAGGGGGAAGTGGCTTGCCACAAAATCCAGGCCTAGGTAGACCTGGCAGTTGGCAGCAGGAAGGCAAGCAAGAGCTGCTAATACAACCCCAGTTGCCCTCCGGGCACTTCACCCATTGCTGCTGCCATGGCCCCAGTTCCTTGGCCGATAGTCCCACCACCATCCCGTGCTGGAGCTGCCGTTGCTACTGCACGTCCCATGGCCCATGCCGGAGTAGAGTTGCCACCATGGCAGAGGGGCATGCACTGGTGGCTTCAGCTTTGGCATGGGGCACACGACTTGAGCAGGAGTTACTCAATGCCGGAGTTGCTGCCACATGTCCG